ACGTCATGAATGCCTAGGTGACTTTGAAATACTCTCCCAGTTATGCCTCGCCCCATTTTCGCGAGCGTGTAGCTCAGAGACCAGAAGGGCTTTAATCTTCAGAAAGGAAGACTGCGAACAGCACCGGAAGGTCTTGAAGATGGCTATTTCAATTGAAAACTCTATCTAAATGTGGAACTCTCCCCTTAGCAGTCCTGGACTCTGACCTAAGTGACCTGCCCTTCATCAGTAACATTGTTCGGGAGTCAAAAGCATGCCAAATATGAAGCCGACGTCTTTATGTTGACAGGAAGTTTCCCTGTCCAGCATCATTGATTTCATGCATTGCTCGGCTGCCTCCCTTTCGTGCGATGCCTGTTTACCTTCCCAATTTCGCCGCACCGGGACCATCGCCACAGCACCGTGACTGCTGTTTCAGGCACAAGGTTCAAAAAGCCAGGTCCTACCCATGTCAATTTTCGGCGTGTTGTGCTTGATCGGGGCAGCTGTTACTCTCTACCTTCCCGAAACTTTCGGACAGAAATTGCCGGACACCATCGAGGAATCAGAGAACTTCGGAAGGTGAGTGCGAGCAGAACCACGGATACCACGCAGACCACCCCTGACATCTGGCGTCATTGTTTATAACTAATGCTTCAGCTCTGTTGCCAACCGCCCACATGCCTCATGCATTGTACACGCGGTGTTTTCTGCGCAGAACTCAAGGACTGACGCTCGTCGCTGTATAATGCAGTCCGACCCGCATCCGACAGACGCTGGTGATGGGTCGGGTATTTGATGACGTCAGACGCCCATTATTGTTGCAGGGACCAGACGCTCTGCCATATTCCGTGGTTGGTCCGCCGAAAACGTCGGAAGTTATACGCCTGAGCGTGACAGCCAGAGACAGCCGGTTAGCCTCTCCACGGGGCACTGCCCAGCATTCTTGACAACGAATCAGCCTCCGGAAAAACTGCTGACGTCATTTCACCGGGCGGACTGATTGGTCCTTACGGCGGGACAGCGGGTTGGCGCGGTTGCGGCGCATGGCCTGCCACTTCTGTAATATGTCGCTTTGTGTCGTCGCGTGAGGTCGTCTGGTTGATGATGTGGCATGACTATTCTAGCTAGCACGTAAGGTTTTAGTTATTGCGAAAATACGACGGGCTTTTAACAATAAAAAGGCATATGCAAACGCTTGTCTTGATAACGCGAGTGATATTTTAATCGAAAAAAAACAGTGGCTTGAGGCGGCATTGACTGGAAGACACAAATACAACACGGTGTCTTCCTTACCCTCTATCTTTTACGTAAAAATGGACGAATAGCGTTGAGCTGTTTCTTTTTTCTGGCCCATCATCTGGCCCTTTCAACTGGCCCATCATCGCTCCATGTCGGAGACAGATGGCATCTCACCAGCTGATCGGCGTGCTTCGTGACTCGTTCGCTGGTACCGGTGTGGTGACTGTGCTCCGAGCCGACGGTTGTCCTCAGCTCAGAACAAAAGAACAGGAGATTTCCTGTCCAGACGCGGAGTTATCCCTCGTATTATCTAGCCCCCCATCAGCCACAGAGCAATGGACACACCGAGTCTGCAGTGAAGTCGGTCAAACGATTTGGGCAACTGCAGGCTGGATACCGCGTTGTGATCCTGCTGCAACTGAATTCTTGTACCAATGAATATTACGGTCGCAGCGTTTTCCCTTTCCTGTGCACCACATTCTTCGCCGTACCCTCCAGGATGAACAGGTTGGCGGCTCACTATGGAGTAACGAGCCGACGAGAGTAACGGTTCTGGTGCTACCCACGTAACGCTACCTGCTGGAGGACATTGGCGCAGTCACGATGGGACCCTGAGCCTCCACGGTCCTAAATTGACTCTCGGTCATAGTCAAGGTGTGGCTCCGTTAGATTTGAAGTTGGATCAGCTTGAAATCGAAGGGCATGCCAGCTGGGATGAGCGGGATTCTTGTGACGAAGACCCTTGGTCCCTTGGCATTTCCTGTCATCATGGCTGCCATTGCGGAGCTTCGGATGAAGATTTTTGGGACCATGGCGAGTGCGACTTACTGGAACACAACTTTGTGATGGCAGTTCTGTTGGCTCCAGGCTCCTGAGAAGCTCCTATATGTAGTTCGCAGCCTCCTCCGGGTTTGTGGCAGTGTCCATTCCTTCCAAGTCCCTGTCTCTCTCCTCGCTGCAGTTTCTCAGAAGCTTCGAGTCCATATTTTCAGCAGTGAAGTGTTTCGGCGCTATGATGACCCGTTCGCTTGGCCAGGTTCACCTTGGCACCGTTCTTTCAAGTCAGGAATACCTTGGACCAAGAGACTGTCGACCATTTCTACTGGAAGACAATTGGACTTGGCTGACTTAGCGCGCGGCAGAACGCGGCGCGCTGGACGCTCTTCGCTGCTCCGATAAGTCTCAAATGGCGGGAACCAACCGTCGCTGATGAGACGTTCTTGCTCGTGCCGCGCTACGCACAGTGCTTTGATCTCGACCGAAGTGTTACATAAGCTCTCCTCTCGCTACGTTGATTCAGAATATACTAGGTTTCGTAGTCTACCACCGGTAGTTCTCGGGTATCAGAGGCTCAGTGACAGAGTTTCACATTTATTTATACAAATGTGGCATCGTTACGTTGACAGTCTGCACAGGTTAGGAGCATTCTCCGCCTCTTATGAGCCTCAGGTGTTTGACCGTCGCATTGCACGCCGTAGTGCGGCGGCGCCGGCCGGCCGCATGACGTCATACCATCTGGGGCCCGCTTCAGCGTCATATCGTCCAGTGCAGATATTTGCAGACCTTGACGTCACCCGAAGATTATGACAGACCTACGCCCTGTTTCTGCAGGTCTCTCAGATGAACGTGACGACGAAAAATCGAATGTCATTCCATCGACGGTCATCTTGTATTTATGAAATGTTCCACATTCATTCATTCACAGACACAACATAATATGGTGCAGCTGATGATCTCCGATAGACATGCGGTACAATGAGCAATGTTCATCGCAATCAACGTTGCAACTAATCCGGCGGAAATACGCGGGAGCACCTGCAGAGGTCGGGTATATTGCTTATTCATCTGTCAATCATGTTGCCAAGCATTTAAATCACCATGTCTTAGGTAAATGTGTGACCAAATAGCTCAGGTCAGAACTCTCAGTTCCTATTAAGCATGCGCCGCATTTCGTCACATATGCATCAAATCAAATCGATCAAGCCTCGCACCAAATCGAATTTCGGGGTCAACCTGCATAAGCAATCATGCTGAATGAAACTACGGCAACATACCCTGTTACTACTGAGCGGGGGCGCACATAGGAGCAGGATAGAACAGCACTGAGCTAGGCACGCCGCTGTGGATGAGCGTCATAACTGTCTCCTAAAAATGTCAGGTCCGCACACTTCGGACAGCTCCAAGGCGTGCATTAATCACTACCTCGCTGCGTACCCGCATGTGTCGAAATTCAGCTATATTTGTCTATCAAATGTTGCTATGAGTAGATGCTGCGACCTTTCTATGCGTGATATGGGATGGGTGCAGTGAATGGAGGACCTGGTGGTCGGTGGTCCTGAATTCGGAACTGGTGGCCGGTAGCCCTGAATTCGGAAGTGGCCGGTAGCCCTGAATTCGGAACTGGTGGCCGGTAAAACGTCATGGAAGTGTGCTGGAAGACCCTTGTTGGAGGGAACGACTGGAGCCACATCTTGAGCGCCTGCTTCTGGAGTTTTTCCACGCAATACGGCCGGCGGGGGGGGGGGGGCATACGCTCGCAAGCGTTCCAAGCACGCTTTCCACCGCTTTTCAACGCGTTCCAGGCACACTTTCCACCGTGTTTCACCGCTCTCCAGGCATGCTTTCCACCGTGTTTCACAGCGCTCCAGGCACGATTTCCACCGTGTTTCACCGCGCTCCAGGCACGCTTTCCACCAGTGTTTCACCGCGCTCCAGGCACGCTTTCCACCGTGTTTCGGTTCGGCCGCTCAGCCACCGGTCGCAATCACTACAGTCCAATATGGACGAGTATGCGACTGAGAGGAGGAGGGGGCAATGCTGGACAACGACCGGGGAGCGAAGTCGGGGTAGCCACCTAAGACAGTCGAACATGCATGTCCCTAGTTTTATACCGACTGCTCAACGCGCGTTAAAGGATTAGACAAAATCAGTGGCATGAACACTTCTATCTTATCAGGTATAATACAATGTGCGATGTACAATACAGAGTACACAGCAATATATACAATGTCTGTCTTTGATTTGAAGCGAACAATGGCAGAACTGGGGTAGAACTTCCGAACTTTTCAGCGTCTCCGCAAATCGATGGGTAATTTATTGTTGCGCTTTACGGGAAACTGCCGAAGTATATACAGCCATCACCGCATTTCAATCAGGATCACACGACGGACTTTGATTGATCGACCCAGTAATGGACAGTCTCAGTGATGTCAGTAATGGACAGTATCGACACGTCGTAACGCACGGTCAGTGCCCTCGAACTCCACGCGGCTCCCTCCGAAACAGCCCACGCGGACATGCGGTGCAGCCATCACCCGAGGGCAAGTGTGCCGCCGCGGCGCGGATGTCATGTGAAAAGTCATGGAGGGGGAAGTGGAGAAGTGCAGCCACAGACTGTTTATCCTTGCGTGCCCGTAACACTGGGTTCTCCCCAAAGTTGGTCCACGTGATTTCGGAATTTGATGAGGATTTAACATGTCAGGGAAGTGAGGGAGAAATAGCGCGATAGTCCCTGCGCGTGGTATCCGCTTTTCATGTTCTGTGTTGATTGGGTGTCTCAAGTTTTGCGCGGGCTCGTTGTACAGGCGAGCTCAACTTCAGTACGAGGGGAGGCTCACCCGCAGGTTGCAGGGAAGTCCACCCTTCCAACTAAAACCAGTCATCCGCCCCGGTGACTCGTCGCAGCGAGTCGCCCGGCTGACTCAAAGAGCGCCGGGCACCGCCTCATCACATGATGCCGCCTGGGTCGAGGCGCGGGGAGGCGGCTGGGTTAGCCCCTCCCGTGGTGTCGCCGGGGCCCGGACGCGGGGAGGCCGGGACTGTACGCTCCCGTGGTGTCGCCGGGGCCCCGGCGCGGGGAGGCGGGCCGGAACTGGACGCTCCCGCGGTGTCGCCGGGGCTCGGGAGCGGGAAGGCGGCCGCGACTGACCGCTCCTCTGGTGTCGCCGGGGCTCGGGAGCGGGGAGGCGGCCGAGATGGCCGCTCACTGAGCCGACGCGGAGCCTTGTGCCTTACGCCGGCTAATCAAACAGGGCACAAAGCAGATGGTCTGGTCCCTGAAACAGCCGAAGACCAGTGACGTCATATGTGGACGTGAATGGACTGACCGGGCAATGCCTGTCGGCGCGAAACACAGGTTGGCACGTGGCGAAGCAGCCGTTGACAACAGAAAGAGGCCATACCAAACAAGCGTCTTTGTAGCTTTTCGCAGTCTGACAAAGCAAACGAGGCTATAAAGGTTCCGTTAAATTGTACAGCCATGTTCAGTACGCGAAGGAGTTGAAAATAAGACTGACCAAGCGAATCATTTTAAGTAATGAACCTTTAGCGGTCTGACAACACCTCCAGCCACTCCGCCCCACACAGCAGCAGGTCGTGCTCTCACATAACACGAGAACAGCTGTGACCGGTAGCGGAGCCCTCCAGTCGTTCGCCATAGCAGCCAGAGCAGCTCACCTGCCAACGCTCTCCTACGCCGTTGTACTCACCTACCGAACATCCCCTTACGTCGCTGTTCTCACCTACCGAATGCCCCCCCCCCCCTACGTCGCTGTACTCACCTGCCGACGCCCTCCTACGTCCCTGTACTCACCTACCAAAGCTCTCCTATGCCGCTGTACTCACCTACCGAACCTCTCCTATACCGCTGTATTCACCTGCCGAATGCCCTCCTACGCCGCTGTGCTCACCTACCGAAGCCCCCGGTATACTGAATGTCGTCGGCAGGCTGCGTCGGACGCTGCTCACCTTCCGAAGCTCTCGGCCTCCTCTATGCTGTCGGGCAGGTTCTGGCCGTACGTCTCCGGCAGCAGCAGCGTCACCAGGCCGGCGATGAGGGAGAGCACGCCGAAGATGGACATGGGCAGCACCTGACTCTCTGTGCCCTGAGTGCGAGGACGCCGCAGCCGTCACGTGCAGGATCGCAGACTGCCAAGCCGCGCCTGCCACTGCCAGCACGCATGTACAAACAGTACGCGGTCAGCATACGCTTCCGCTTTTGATAGGAGTCGTGACGCAGGAAGGTCAAGCCTCTCGGGAAGCGCGCTGGGCAACAAGCGTTTTGCCTCGTTTCCATGTATCGGCATGGTGCCTACGCTAGATCTTCCAGAGGTAGGGCAGCTCCCTCTCCAATCGTAGCGATAAGCGATAACAGACGCGACAGTTGCCAGTTGGTATCATGTAGATGATGCCAAAGGCCAGCTGATGAAGCCGAACACCGTCCGCAACCGATCGCCAAGGGTCTGACCGCTGCCTCGAAAAGTATTTCTTTGATGAGAGTTGGCGATGTAAGTCCGCTGCTGTAACACTCGTATGCTGATTTAAAACTAACATTGCATGAACTTCATGTATGGAGATTACTTAATGGCCGGCTGTAAGTATGGTTATGCTTGGCAATTTCAATCAACGATCACAACTGTGACCAAGGTGCGAGGAATTGCTTGGGTAAAAATTGGTCACAATAAGTAGGGCTACGGCCTGTATAATTTGTATATTTTCATAGTCAAATTCCTCTCCGGTCCAGTCACAGAGTCTTGTATTGAAGAGTGGTTAACGAAATGGTGACATTGGTCGTTTTCCAACCAATTCCTGACGCGCCTGTGGATAAGACCGTTTTCTTGAGATCTGTTGGTACGTTGCAGCCATTATATTCGCCTTCGCTGCGCAATTGTAGTTAGTTTTGCGTCACGACCTGCTCTGATTGCCGATATCTGACACCAATCCTGTAACACTGCAATTTTGCAGGAAAATTTTGCTTGATGAGACAGCTTACATGCAGGTGTTAAAATTCAGAACACACAAGTTTTAATTAAATTTACCACTTGATGTTAAAACTGCAATAGCCTGTGATCAGTGGTTGAAAAAACATTAGCTTTCAGACGGCGAACTGTCCGGATGGGGTGAAACGGTACGGGGCGTGAGCTGAAAGCTTGATTATAGTCCAGCTAAGACTAGCCAAGCGCGTAAGATTAGTAAGACTCACCAAGCAAGACCATTGAGTCTACTCGCATATGGGCGTAACAAAGCATTTTGGCTGACCGTCTCTTTCGATAAGCTGACCTCGTATGACTTCTGACGGTAGCCTGGCGCGACCTTGCATGACCTCTGCTGGTAGTCTGGTGCAACCTCGCACACGGCGTTAACTCTGACTGGCTGACAGCCAAGCAAGTCAGCGAACTGCATTGAAGCAACGCAAACCGTAAAGCCCCACCTACTCTACCCACGTATCGTTTTGCAAGCTGGAAGCGGGCGAAGCGTCACGAGCCACAACGGGCGAGAGGTCAAGGGCGGATCAAGGTTTTATCCCAAATCGACACGAAACGCTGCCCGCGCGGCGAGGGCCCGAGCCCAGGCTTCCGGTCCGTACCACACTGGCGGATCAAGGTCATATCCCAAAGTGACACAAACTCCGCCCGTGCAGCGAAGGCTCGAGCCCAGGCTTCCGGTCCGTACCAGACTGGCGATGAACGGCGCCAGGATTGATCCGATCCGACCGGAAGCAGAAGACATGCCGATGGCGCTGTTCCGCACGTCAGTCGGGAACAGCTCGGCGCCGTACACGAACACGATGGCGAACGTCGCAGCCGCGCCGAACTTGCCGACCAGGGCCAGGCCCACTGTGAGCGTCTCCATTCCTGGGGAGGGGGACGCGTGGGCGCGTAGAGCGGTGCGCTATAGACACGGTGGCAGTTTAGGTAGCGAACGGTGCTGGTGCTGCGGAGGAAGGTGGTGCAGTTGCGATGGGACTGGTGCTGGTGGGCGTCGCTGGTCCCGTCCGCAGCGTTCGTCAAGGGACTGCAGCGCCAGCTGTAACTGCTGCTGCGCTACCTATGCAGTGCACGAGCGCTGTGATGCCCGAGACCCATGATGCGTGAACATCGCTGCACGTGAAGAGAGACCTAAAGCTCCTGATTTCGGGATTGGCTGAACCGTGGTAAAGATTACGGCACGTTGAACTACAGCCATAGAAGTATGCCGTTGACCTGAACTTTCACAATCGGATGGTGGGGTCAGGGCTCAAGCAACAAGCCTTGCTTAGCGTAGCCGTTGATGCCAGAATTAATTGTATCAAAATGCGGGGACTTAAGTTTAAAAAACAGCGCCTGACGATAACGTGCCCAAAAAGTGAATGGTGTGCACGCCCACGAAGGAAAGACGCTCAGACTTTGGGGAGGGTATTTAAAATGAAAGCAAATGATCTTAAGCCCGCCCGCATACTCAGGACACAAGAAGGTAGAGCGAAGTGCGTACCCAAAACATAGCGCCACTAGAGCCACCTATCAAACTTAGCATGAAGCTGACCTTCGCCGCCGGCCACCAGTCCGCTGGCAATGCTGCCAGCGCCGCTCAGGAAGAAAGAGACGCTGGTGCAGAGCTTGCGGCCCCACGGGTCTAGCAACAGGATGCAGAAGAAGAGCGACGGCCAGTCCACGATCTGTACCAGCACGAAGTTGACGTAGACGTTGCCGCCCAGGTTGGTGGCGTTCATGGCCAGGCCGAAATACACCATGGCGGTGACGAACCTGCCGGGCCAGTGCGTGTTAGCGAGTCGGTGGAGTGCAGGGCGGATCCAAGGAGGATCCCGACCGGGCGGGCCTGAAATGGTGTAGAATGCAGTGATTGTTTGCTCTAGCGGTCACGAAAACACAGAATCATGACAGAGCGCGCCGTCAGCAAAATACGCGATCAAGAACATTTATTTGATGCCGCTCGTCGTTTGATGAATCGTTGATGAGCGGGCAATGTAAATCTGCTTGCGTCGTATTGTCCCACTTGGGAAAACGACGTGATTTTTTGGCAGCATTGGGCGTGCCATGCCGCTCAAAGCCCCAGCATGCCCTGGGCCACTGGCGTACTAGCGAGCCACTTGCGAGAGATGCTCGTGCCTATATCGGGGCCCTTCCAGACGCCGGCAGTCGGGAGAAAAGCACCGGGTCGTATGCGGTTCTTCAGGGCAAAGGAGAAGTCCCAATTTGCCCACTGATGTCTGAGAGAACCAGGAGAAATTGCGTGAATCGAGAAACACAAAATGACGGCAACAGAAGCAGGCTTCCGCATTGGTTATTGGTCAATGGACAAGTAAGTCGAATGGTTGTTGAGTTCACTGCACGACTGTCCCAGCAACTTAGTTGAGCGCTGTGCGCACACAACGAAAGGAAGCATTATATGCGTGTTGTGTGTGCGTGTTGTTTGGAGCTGTAAAATTCAAGTGTGAGTGGCGGATAAAAGCATGGGATATTTCCACGCGCCCAAACCGTGACAAGCTACGGACCAGTCATTTCTAACAAGCCATATTGCGAATTTCGTGGGGCAATTTTTTAATCCGGCGAAGGCCTTCATTGGCGGCATAAAGCGTCATAGCGCAAGTCTTCCGAGCAATAACCCCGGTAAATTATGCCCCGTGAAACCGCAAGCGTCTAAAACGTGACTCTCCTTGATCTGCCACGTCACGGCTTTAGGAGTGACGCGGCCTTTTGGACGCAGTCCACTAACGCCTCCTGACTTCGTCCAAGCATGACGCGCGTGTAGGGCCCTTCCTGCCAGGGTGAGAGGCAGCCGACGCCATATAGCCCCAGCAGCTGGGTGCGTCGTAAAGCCCCAATGACGACGGCCCGCGTCTACGGGACGAGTTAGCAGCCCACCGCTGCCGAGGCGCAGCGCTCGGCCGCGCCGCCGCGGCGCCCCAGGGCCGGAAGCCAACAGCACGGGTCTGCAGAGCACCACACCGCAGCCTAGCCCGTGACAGCGCGGCCCAGCGGGCGGGTCCCCAGTGTTACCATTGGTACAGCACGATGAGCGTCCTCCATCGGAGGGCGGGCGACCTGAGCAGGTCAAGCACGGTGGCAGCCGGCCGGGCATTGGAGGCGGCAGAGTCGGCGGCCACGGAGCCCTGAGGGCACGGCCCGCCACCACACCGCTGACCGCCGCTTCATCAACAGCACACCGCGCCAGCATGCGTTCATCAGCGCGCACCGCGCCATCAACAGCACTGACGGCGCCCGCGCCGCCGGCGCAGGCGGCGCGCACGCGCACGACGCGCCGGGCGCCGGGCGGACACAGCACGCGCTCCCAGGTCATCGCACTGTTCAATGTCACAGGGACACCGGAGAGACACAGAACGCATCTCCAGGCCCGTAAATCACAGGCGTGGGAGCGAGTCGACTGGTGCTTTTCGTCATGAACTTGTGCGTTACTTACCGTTGTGACCCAAGGTTCCCACCCCTGCGAGGCTTGGGTCTTATGCTATACCAGGAAGGCGCGGAACAGCGAATATTCGCAACGTAATGAATGTTGGTCTGTGAGGTAATGAGTATCAACCGTGTCGCTGGGTGCTTACACCGTCTCTAAGCTCAGTGCACAGCTTGCGCGCAACTTTGACCGCCATAGGGCGGCAAGTAATTTGAAATTGGTCGAGCTGCACCATTGTTAAAGACGCACAAACCTGACACATTCGTACTAGCACAGATGAAGCATGGGTTCAAATAACATCTGGTATGTGATATTATACGGCAAAGGTGACACCTTAACACAAAACATTATCTGCGGGACTGTGCCTATTTCTTTAATAGGCTTCTAAAGAACAAAAATTCGACAAACTCGAAGGAAAAAGAGGATCGATCCAACAGCACAACATGTGCAGTCACGTGGGAAAAAAGCAAAGAAGCCACGCGTTATTCACAAGACTTGTCGGTATGGATACATTAGAAAATGGACAAATACGGGCGGTAAAATATATAGCGATCCGGCCCAAGAGGTTGATCACGAAGACACTGGCGATGAGTTATCCACTGGGAATCCGGTCTGAGATGCTTGAAGAGACGGAAGAGGGGGAGGGGGTGGGGGTGGGGAGTAAGGGGGGGGGAGAGAAGGAAAGCAGGATACGGATGGGTGCAGGGCAAAGGAGGAGGGTTCTTACAGGGCCTGAGACACGCAGCTTGCTGTTTATGGACTGTTTCCAACCCAGAGCCACGTCTTAAGCACATTAACATCCCTAGAGCAAGAGAACGAACAAGAGGTGCCCAGAAATCCATATGACATAGCAGATGAACTGTGATGTAGAGTTAACTGCACCTTCGCCTTATAAAGCAACGCAAGTGTCAAAGTAAAGCACGCAAGCACGCAACGTTGGTAAAGTACGCAAGGTTGGTCGAAGCAAAGTACGCAAGCACGCAGGCATCATCCTGACATGTCATGTATTGACTTAACCCATACTTACCCTTCCAGGAATTTTCGTCAAGTGCTCAGGAAAGTCTGTGCCGTTGAATTTGGCCACCTTGCGCAGGATCTCCTCCGCCTCTTTCTGCCTTCCCTCTGCGGCCAGCCAGCGTGGCGACTCCGGCACAAACCTGTGCGAGGATCAGGTCAGGGGATCGTTTGCAATAGCTTGTGCGGTATCCTGTCAGAGCACCTTTTCTCCACCTGAGCTCATCAGCTCACGTGGATAGTTTTTGCAAGCTTTATTCGGTTAATTTATTACGGTGACGGTAAAAGGTCCTTAAGTATCAGGTTGTTTACCTATTTTGGCACGATTTGCATCGTTCACGATTACACACGTGGAAAGATTGCGATTACCAGCTGGCTGAGCGGCGCACTCTGAGATACAGCACGTGCGTCGCACAGCCCCCCCCCCCCCCCCCCCCCAGCTGCAATCGGGTGGAGAACTTACAGCCAGTAGGAGAGGAAGACGAAGATGGGGACGGCGATGACCAGCTGCAGCGCCCACCAGTCCTTGACGAAGAGGGCGAACAGCCCCACCATGCACTCGCCGAACGCGAAGAAGAACTCAATGACGAAGCCGCAGAACGTTCGCACGTTGTTGGAGACCATCTCCACAGCTGGGGATTACACGAACGCATCGCTCCAGTTCCCTGAAGGTCATCTCCACAGCTAGGGATCACACGAACGCATCGCTCCAGTTCCCTGAATGTCATCTCCACAGCTAGGGATCACACGAACGCATCGCTCCAGTTCCCTGAGGGTCATCTCCACAGCTAGGGATCACACGAACGCATCGCTCCAGTTCCCTGAAGGTCATCTCCACAGCTAGGGATCACACGAACGCATCGCTCCAGTTCCCTGAAGGTCATCTCCACAGCTAGGGATCACACGAACGCATCGCTCCAGTTCCCTGAATGTCATCTCCACAGCTAGGGATCACACGAACGCATCGTTCCAGTTCCCTGAATGTCATCTCCACAGCGGATCACACGAGTGCTTCGCTCCCGGAAGGCGATTATCACAGCATGCTGCATGAATCGCATTAACAATGCCCATGTTTTAATGCACACGGTGCGCCCTTCTGCAACGCGCTTGTTATATAAACCTTACATTTCCAGTGCTTCCAAAAGTACAAGAATACCCAAATGCGAAAATACAATTATGTACAATCTGAAAAATGCAACTAAACATAAGGAAATTATGCACTGGAACATCCAAACTAGCATGGCTGGAGATGACGCCACCGCCATAACCACATCGCTGAGAGTGCAACCTGGAAGAGCGGCTGAGGTGTGCAGACGTTTTTTTCGGTGGTCTAGCTAGATCTCTCCCCTGTGCAAAATGATGAATGTACGCCACGGACTTAATACTGAGCTTCAGCTCCTCTGGGCACGGACGATTCCGCCGGAAGAGACATTTCGTCGTGCGGCACTCATTGATGTTCCGTTCTGGTTTTTCCCCACTACAGATGGTACGTAGCCAGCACCACCAGCACCACCAGCATCACCACCAGCATCACCACCAGCATCACCACCAGCATCACCACCAGCACCACCAGCATCGGCACCGCCGCTCGTTGTTGGTCAATCGGCGATCTTACGCCCCGTCACAAAGCGGGATGTGATCGAGGCTGAGTGAAGCGGCATGGTGGCAACTCACGCCTTTCGACCACCAGCGCAGCTGGCACGCGAGCCCGACCATGTTCACATGCTGGGGCCGAGGTCCCGCCGTAAGCTGGAGAGTACCGCCGGTGCGCGCGCCGAAGAGCACGGTGTAACCGAGCGTGAGGAGACGGGTCGGTGAGGCTGGCTGAGGCAGATATGAGCCATCCCGCTGTCCCGAGCTCACGGGTCAACAGGCCTGTGAGGCTGGCTGAGGCGGATACGAGCCGTCTCGCTGTCCTGAGCTCACGGGTCAACAGGCCTGTGAGGCTGGCTGAGACAGACACGAGCCTTCTCGCTATCCTGACCCCACGGGTCAACCTCGGACCGACCTCTGAACGTTCCGTCTTGACTCAGAACGGATTCAGAACGGATTCACAGCAGATGCAAAGTGCAAAGATGACCAGCTTCTAAGTCCAGGCTTTCGCCATTTAGGTTTATTCTACGTGCGTCGTACCAGTTATGTCTCATACGCAAATACTGCATGTACAGATCAACCACAGGCCACTTAATCGCTGGTTGTTTATGGCAATTTCGTGGATTTTTGCCATCAACCAGGTAGAAGGCAGGTCTCTTGACTCAATGGAGGTCAGCGTCGCGCAATGTAAACATTAAGCGTTGCAGCTAACACAGTCGGCCATTGCGAGATCTACGGAAAGCCAATTTATCAAGGAAGCGTGTGACGTCTTCATGACGAGATTCTCATAAATCCTGACCGTTGACCATGTCTATTACAATGTTGTGCGTTCGCCAGGCTGGACGGCTTTAGTCAAGCGCCACGGCCCTGCACATCAGCGAGGCGGCCGACGACAGTGCGTCGAATCCACCTCAGCACATGTGCCATGAACACAAGACAGTCTCCGCCAAAGCCCAGAGGGGCACCGAAATGAGCGGATAACTCGATTCTTTGTGAGTTTGATAGCAATATTACGCAACAATTCAAAACCTAACGCCAAAATCGCCCGAAGATGGCATCTCTTTCCGACTGCAATTTTCAATATCGACTCAAGAAGGCCGGTGGAGTGCAGCGCAAGCCAGGGTGACGTCTCCGAGGCGGAGAGCCGAGCTCAGTTGGACGGGTCAGGGTGACGTCTCCCGGGCGGAGAGCCGAGCTCAGTTGGACGGGGTCAGGGTTACGTCTCCCGGGTGGAGAGCCGAGCTCAGTTGGACAGGGTCAGGGTGACGTCTCCCGGGCGGAGAGCCGGGCTCAGTTGGACGGGGTCAGGGTGACGTCTCCCGGGCGGAGAGCCGGGCTCAGTTGGATGGGGTCAGGGTGACGTCTCCCGGGCGGAGAGCCGAGCTCAGTCGGACGGGGTCAGGGTGACGTCTCCCGAGCGGAGAGCCGAGCTCAGTTGGACGGGGGTCAGGGTTACGTCTCCCGGGTGGAGAGCCGAGCTCAGTTGGACGGGGTCAGGGTGACGTCTCCCGGGCGGAGAGCCGGGCTCAGTTGGACGGGGTCAGGGTGACGTCTCCCGGGCGGAGAGCCGGGCTCAGTTGGACGGGGTCAGGGGTGACGTCTCCCGGGCGGAGAGCCGAGCTCAGTTGGACGGGTCAGGGTTACGTCTCCCGGGTGGAGAGCCGAGCTCAGTTGGACAGGGTCAGGGTGACGTCTCCCGGGCGGAGAGCCGGGCTCAGTTGGACGGGGTCAGGGTTACGTCTCCCGGGCGGAGAGCCGGGCTCAGTTGGACGGGGTCAGGGTGACGTCCCCAGGGCGGGTGCCGGGCTCAGTCGGACGGGGTCAGGACGGCCGCCGGCGCCGGCGCCTGTCGCTGAGCCGGCACTTACAGCCCGCTCCACGCGGCTCCGGTGACAACGGTCCGGTTCAGCCGGGGTGGACCCGGCGCCGGCCACCCGAGCCGAGCGGCCCGGCCGTCTCCAACGGATCCCGGAGGGAGTGGCGGATGTCAGGTCATGCCTCAGATAGATGATCGACACCTCTTTGGGCCCTCACCGCCGCATGACCTCAGCAGCCGTGTGATAAGGATATCGTTTGTATAGTGTCGTGAGAGGTTTATCGATTGCGATGTTCCATGAAGCTGATGTGAATTTTAAGTAAGATGCTGACAAAAACGACTCGGAAAAATTAAGGTGCTATATAGTTCCAGTGCCTCCTCTACAATATATTGCATGCAAAACTATCAACGACGACAATATGCTAATCAAACAAATGTTGACAATGGTGATGGGTCAGGCCTCACGCTACTATCCCTGCATAGTGTGGGTGTTGATCCCAGAAGTTCACTCAAGCAAAATACTCGTGAGTTGAATCGAGACCCATGCAAAAATCGACACGTACCGCGTGTTCACTGAATAAAAACCCACATGGCAAAGTGTGGTCTTGTGTCTCGTTATTTCTCGGAAATGACAGCTGTAACTTTGAGCATCGCGTACTTCAGAGATCCCTTGACAAAAACTCCCAGTCATGTGGTGTTAAATTCGTCATGGTCTAGTCGTGTTTTTGTTACTGATGTGGTTAAATCATAACCTACATCCGACAGCAGTTGAGAGGCTTCTTATCCCAGCCTCCATGACACAAAACATTACTTAAAAGACAACACAGCAAAGCGTCGGCACACTCATAAACTTATCCGGTACGATAATCATCAGGTGGTTACGCCCTGCGGGCTCCCGAGACCAAACCATTTGGAAACAAGATTTTTTCTCAGGCGGTGCCACCTGGAATGCGGCAATGGAACGGCCGGGATTCGATCATCGGACCAACATGCCCAGAACCGAGCGCATTCAGCACTACACAGCAACCGTAGCCGGACCCGTCGTAAACAGCGGAACAGAACGGACTGAGGAGAATGGGCTATTGTTATTGATCAATGCAATAACATTGGAGAGGTCGTTCACCTTGATGAATGGTCACACATGGACACGTCGTGGCCATTGTCACAGGGAATGATTTAACTCAACGCCTATGACACCGCCGTCGGCTAGAGAGCAGAGTCTCCCACATGCACTCACCCATGACAAACGTGATCATGAAGGTGCCCATGCCGCCGACGCCGGTGAGGAAGCGCATGGCGGCGAATGTGCCGAAGTTGGGTGCGAAGGCGGTCACCAGGCTAGCCAGGCCGAACTCCGACAGTGACAGCATCAGGGCCACTTTACGGCCGAACCTGCCGTCCGGGCCGCGTGACGTCATCAGCAGCACACGTGACGTCATCAGAAGCACACCTGACGTCATCGGCAGCACGCGTGACGTCACCAGCAGCACCGCTCATCGGCGTCCCATGAGTGACGTGGGAAGGTCATCATCAGTGACGTGGGCGGATCACCAATAGTAAGTGGGCTGATCATCCGTGAACTGGGGGAATCATCATCAGTGACGTGGGCGGATCATCATCAGTGACGCGGGTGGGTCACCATCAGTGACGTGGGCGGGTCATCATCAATGGGTTACCGCACCGTATTGCTGTCATTCATCAGTATCATCCAATGCGACCGGTCAGAAAATAATGACGACGTCCTATAGCGGCAAAAAGACACTCGTCCTTGGCTATCTCGTAATGCAGATGGCTACTGCCTTTGACAAAAAGGATAGAAAAAGTGCCGCTAAATAATTACAGCTGTCTTGAAAGGTGGACGAGAGGTCAGCGCACTAACCGGGTGCGCATGCGCAGCACATTTTGTCCTGTGAAGCTACCGGTATCAACATTTGGGTAAACGGCATATCACAGGTGGTTCAAAAATCGACAGGGAAAACACATCATCAACAAAATCGTCACTACAATACAAGCGGCACGAACCAGTCCAATCCACGAGCAGCTCCACAAAGCAATACAAAAGTTAAAAATTAAAACTTCGAAAAAATCGCACCAAAAAAATCCCGGCGCCCCATCTGCCCGGGGCACACACGGTCACGGAGGCAGTCCATCACGGAGGCATACACGGTCACGGAGGCACACACGGTCACGGAGGCAGTCCATCACGGAGGCACACACGGTCACGGAGGCAGTCCATAGCGGAGGCACACACGGTCACGGAGGCAGTCCATAGCGGAAGCACACACGGTCACGGAGGCACACACGGTCACGGAGGCAGTCCATAGCGGAGGCACACACGGTCACGGGGGCAGTCCATCGCGGAGGCACCCACGACCACGGAGGCAGTGCCGTACCTGTCTGAGATGTAGCCGAAGCCGAGGGAGCCCACCAGCATGCCGCCCATGTAGAGGCTGTTGGCCAGCGGCGACAGCCATTCCCGCCCGCAGGTCAGCGAGAACTAAAAGCGGAGGCATAAGGGGTGTCACATGGAGCGTCACATGGAGCGACACGTGGAGCGGCACATGGAGCGGCACATGGAGCGGCACATGGAGCGTCACATGGAGCGTCACATGGAGCGTCACATGGAGTAGCACATGGGGTGTCACATGGGGCGCCACATGGAGCATCACATGGGGCGTCACACGAAGCATCACATGAAGCGTCTCATGGAGCGTCACATGGAGCGGCACATGGAGCGGTACATAAACGGATCATAGAGCATCACAGCCGCCAGGTGTGGAGCTGCGCTGGCCGATAGACACCTGGAGAGGCGCGCCCAACTGGCCAACCGGGCGTTACGTCTTGGAAATGCAAAATTGTTGGTTTGTTGGCATCGGTGCTCGGTTATATTGTCAAATACCACTAGTTTATATATATATATATATATATATATATATATATATATATATATATACACACACACACACATATATATATATATATATATATATATATATATATATATATATATATATATATATTGTGTCTGTGTGTGTGTGTGTGTTTGTGTGTGTGTGCGTGTGCGTGTGTGTGAAAATATCATAGACAGCACGTCTCTTTTGCATGATAATTACCTTATAACACTTTTTCTGGTATTTTGGACGGTACAAATGACTACACAGAACAGCAGCAATGCCATCACCGGCGTGTGCTGGCGGAATAGCCGGTGAGTGCGGGGTCGCCACGAGGTACATACTAACCTCTGACACGGCGCTGGTATGCATGACGCTCTTGTCGTAGACGTACTGGCTGCAGGCCGTCTTGTGGGAGCTATCGAAGGCGGACGCGTCACATAGGCCGGGCGGCGAGTGCTGGAACGTGTTGCACTCGCTCCACGGATAGTCGGCATTGGCGGGGTCCGACTGCCGCGGCGTGGTGAAGTTGAGGAACGGCGCGTTGTAGGTGGCGTTAGTGGCGTCCTCACAGCCCGACACCAGGCACCTGCAGAACGGAAATAATGCTATCGACCGGATGAGATGGGGATCGTACGTTGCAGTTATCTTCTGAAACAGAAGGCCTTGAGTCATACTTCACCTGGCATATCACCATCTGCCGTGCCCGCGGCGGGACGGGTTCCGGCCGGGTTTGTCTGAGGAGGCGGCACTGCTGAAAGCCGACACTTTCGCTACTGACACCATTGACAGACGCATGGTGACGTCACTTGTCACAGCTGACACCTCCAAGGCCTTGGACAGTGTTGGGCATGGCCGTCTTCTGGACAAGCCCGGTTAGTATGGTGTCTGTCCGGATTGGTTCTCAGCGTGGCTGCAGGGATGTATTTAGGGGGCGTACTCAGACTGTGCGGGGTGGGTTGTGTGCGCTGGATGTGATGCACGGAGTGGTCCAAGGATTTATCCGAGGGCTAGTGTTGTTCTTAGTCTTCGCCAATGACTTTCCACAGCATTTCCCAGATGGGAAGATTATAAGGTACGCAGACAACACCCCATTCCTTGATGCCGCTCGTTCAACAAGATTCCAGGCTCTAAAAAAAACTCGTGTCGAATGTTTCCCCCGTGTGACACTGCAGAGGGTCACTCAGAAACGACCGAGCATTAATCTAGCTAAGACTGAACCTGTCATCTAACAGTCTCAGTGCCAAGACTTCGATGCCAATTTATCGGTCCATTTCGACGGTGCTGAAATTTCACCCTCACAGAGCGTCAAGGACCCAGGGTCACAGAGTGTCAAAGTCAGGGTCCCTGATATCACCATCGATTCACACCTGACATGGAATGCAACTTTCCCCTGTTGTTCAGCGGTGCAACTGGGGCTTGGTGGTACTGACCGGAATCCGCCACAAGCTACCGATGTGTACCAGGCGTCTGTTGATGGAAACTCTCATCTTTCCTCACACACATCGTTGTATGCCGTGTGGGGAAATTGTACGTCGGTGCAACGACCGCAGGTTCAGGGGGCGCTCAACTTTGGCATCCGTCTTGTGACTGTTCTTTACCGGCGCGACCTTGTGACCCCATCACTGCAAGAGCTAGGGTGGTCTGAATTTGAGGCAATGCTCACCGATCGTGATGTCATCACCATGCGACAGCTCATCATTGACCCCGGCTCATCCGGCTTGTTGCGCAAGCGGCTGCTCCGTCGCTCTGACGCGTCCGCCCGCCGCACCCGTGCTTCGAAGGACGGCCAGCTGCAGCTGCTCAGAGTGCAGACAGAGGTCGCCCGTCGGGGCTTTTTCTTGCGGGCCACAGCCGCTTATATATAATAGCCTGTCATCGCAAGTGAGTCAGCAGACTCGCTCCGCGTTGTTCGGTGAGCGAGAGTTCAGGTGATATGAACCAACTTTGCATTTTCCCTTTGTCATCTTTGCTTTGTATTACATGGGGAAAATTGTTGCCGGTTTTCTTGTGCGCGTTTAAACTATTCTGTGCCGACTATCATGCATTGTGAACGCGTGGTGGGCATTGTACTCTGCTATCATGTATTGACGTGGACACCATGTAACCCATCGAACGGAGGTGCCTAATAAACAAACCTGTGTCTGTATCTGTATTTACCTACCGCTGACTGCTGCCAGCAAACTGCGGGGGTATCCAAACACTCCCATCTGCCCCACCTGGGGCGTGCCGCGGCCTAGAGCATGGATGCCCACAGGGTAGGACGCAAGCCTACTCTCTAAAATCAGTTATGTCCATCCAACACAGACCTTATGCTGTAATGAGTGGGAAGACTACGGCCCTCCTTCCCCGGAGTCTACAGCCTATAGCCTGCTCCCGCAGCCGGTTCAAAAGATGTGGCGTTACAATGATCACAAGAGCGTCGAATATATATATATAATATATATATATCTAAATATAATATATATAATAACTCTCTCTTCTCATGCTCTCTCTCTCTTCTTTCTCTCTCTCTCTCTCTCTCTCTCCCTCTCTCCCTCCCTACCTCCCTCTCTCCTCTCTCTCTCTCTCTCTCTCTCTCTCTCTCTCTCTCTCTCTCTCTCTCTCTCTCTCTCTCTCTCTCTCTCTCTCTCTCGCTCTCTCTATCTCTCTCTCTCTCTCTCTCCTCTCTCTCTCTCTCTCTCTCTCTCTCTCTCTCTCTCCTCTCTCTCTAATCTATGTTCAATCTCAATCTTATCTAGATCTCATGCATCCCCGGAAAAATGTTGAATTTGACGTCAAATCCATGGTTTAGAAACGCACCTTAAAGAGCCATCCACATTCTCAGAAAATTATCAGTCCACTCAGTCCCTATCTGATGACGTCATACCTGCGGCAAATAAGCCGATCGGGACAAGGGAAGTGACGTCACCCACCTGTGAGGCAAGTCGTAAGCGACCCAGGAGAGGCTGATGACCGCGGCACCGGCCACGATGGAAGGCAGGCAGAGCACGAAGTACATCAGCTTCTGGTAGCGGCCCCCAGCCGTTGATCTCAGACAAAATGGCGTCCACGTCCATCATTGGCCAGAGCCTGAAAAAAAGAATGCGAAGTCAGTGCATATTCGTCTCCGCTGCAGAGCGGCCAGGGATGCAGTGCCGGAAAACTAGCTGGCAAGCTTTGCTTCGGATTGATGAGCCCAGACACTGAAATGCTGTTTTCATCGTTACATTTGCACTATTTTCAGTTAGTTCTTGGAGCAAGTTGAAGTGCTTTCTTCAAAATCCGCTTGTTTTCCTTTCGTTTCTTGGATTTCGTATGAGCCTTGTGTAAGGCTCAGGATTGGAGGCTCCTGTCAAGTTAGAAACACCTAGGTGCAAGTCCGGGTCCGAGGGGGGGGGGGGGCAAGTTCGCTTACTGAACTCTATCCAACACGATGTGAAGGTCACGACTTCCCGGCTCTTATAGCGGCGCGTTGTTTGATGGTTGTTGTAGTGTTGATTTCGAAGCATTCCAACAAATCGTGGTGTGTACTTCGGTGTCCGACATCTCAAGCGCAGAGGACTGTGGGCATGTCCGGATGTTCACAGTCGTGAGGTTATGATCTAATGCTGGTGATGGATCCACGCAGTATATGTTCTAGGAAGTAACCATGCGACTGCAACGTATGAAAAAGGCCCCGACATGTTGCTCTCAGGCGACGGCCTCTCCTCTCCCTTGAAGAAATAAGAAAAATAAGAAGAAAATAGAGTGCGTTTGACAGTATCCAAAGGCAAGCCGGACCAAATGCACCAGCTGAGGCCTGAACTGCATTCAGACATTTAGCACATACAGCAGCAGGGCGGGGCGAGAGCAAGCCACTGCGCATTTTGAAGAATATTTTACCTTTGGTTGAGACCTGCTCAGACTGGCAAATAAACCATCATAAATTTGGTCACACAAACCCTGTTTAAAATCAAAGGAAACAAAGCCGATTTTAATCATAAAGATCTCTGACCCTTCCACCGAAATGAAATATCATTGAGCGAAATCCAGCGACAAAATTCTGTACAAGCTCGGTTATTTTAAGCATTGCCACAGCTTGGTGAGACATAACAGTATGTGCTTCATGGTACTGGCTCATCCTGTCCTCGTTATGGTGTATGTCCTCATGCTGTTATCATGCTACGCCTTCACTGTCCACGTCGTATTTTGCTTTTGATCTGCTTAACTGGCTATCCTCACCTCAGCCAGGGATGACCCTGTTGAGCGTGGTGCCTTATCCGGCAGAACATACTAAAGATTACATCATTCTTTATGTAATCAATTATTAATAATTATATCATTCTTTCCCCAGACCCCGTGCCTTACCCTAGCCCAACAGTCTTACACCCCATTGAGTGGCGCGGGCAGACAGAGGCGCGGGGGTGGGTGCCCCCGTCCCCCGCCCCCCTCCCTTTAGATGACGAGGGTCCCTGCGGGCCCTCGGGACAGACGATTAAGGGCCCAATTTCGGGGCCCAAACGGCTGACCGGACCGCGCATTGTCGTCGGAAGCTGCTATGCGCCAGATTGGGGCTCCCTGAGTCGAAGAAGACCGCAATGCGCCAGATTGGGGCTCCCTGAGTTAAAGAAGACCGCTACGCCGATCAGGCAGCATCAGTACCGAACATCCGGCTCTTTGTTAGTTTGAGTCTGACGTCCATTTCCAAGGCAAGGGCAAGGCCGCGGCCCGCTATTTACATTGGCTGGGGCACTTGAGCTAATAAGTAGCCCCAGCAGACCAGACCGAGGCCTGTCGACCAGAGGCCCACAGTGCCTAACAAGGAACCCTTTGTTGGCAAAGGATTCCAAGTCGGCCAGGGGCAGTGTTCCGAGGGGTCCGGAAGGGGGGCACGAAGGGGGGCACGAAGGGCCTCTCGGGACCGCGCGATTGAGGGCGATTTTAGCAGGCTGAGAGGCCCGAAGGGCTCCAAGGGCTGAATTGCAGGCAGGGATAGGACACCAACTTTGGTAGGGGGGGAAGGGGGGGGGGGGCTGCTGAGATCTAAAACCATCATAACTGCATACAAAAGAAATAGGTGAGAGAGCATGGTGTTTTAATAGCTGACATTCTCGAAATGACTGATGTCGTGCAAATTCCTCATGTTACCTGCGCTGCACCACCGTAAGACAAAGGGGGCGCGGAAACCACAGATAGGGACAGGGTCTTGAGACCCACAACTCTCCGAACGTTAAACATTGGCTCTGTGGGCGTTAACTGGAAAGAGGATCTAAATGGCTACCACTCCCCCCCCCCTCTCTCTCTCTCTCTCTCTCTTAAACATCCCCAGCAACATTTTATCGGGGGCCCGGCTCGGCGGATTTCTTTAGCAGCGCTGCCTCCTCTGGGCTTCGTCCGGACCCCAGTCACTTGTATATACATGATTAAGATGACGGCACTGCCCCAGGCAAAGCTAGCTTGTGCGCAGCTGGGCTTAAAGCGCGCCTTTTTCCGCCAGGGCCGTTGCAGAATGTGAGTGGGTTTACGGCCGGGCGGGCGGTGGTGGTGGTGGGTATGGCGGATTGTCGTCGTGCGCGGCTTTTCTTTTGGGTGAGTTGGGAAACCAATCAAGTGTGCACGCTGGGAAGCCAAATCAGGGCCGTGTGGAGCCGCACAAGCACCACCAGTCCGCAGAGGCAGGCAGGCTGCATGCTTGCTGGGACACTCGTTGTCGGACATCCGGCAAAGCCCAATGAGTTCGGAGATCGTATTTGAACCGTGTACTCCAAAAGATTGGGCTTACTTATCAGTTCCGCCAGTAAGCTCTCAACTACAACAGATCAAACACCTACATTACCCAATGGCAATCATAAATTTAAAGGCCATTTGGCCTGTGGATCCCGGCCTTTTCGAGATCACGTTCAGCTAATCAAATAACCCCAATTTAACGATGTCGGGTGTCGTATATAGTGTCAGCCCAGCGCGAACAGCGGCTAGTTTAAACTGTTCGGCTGCGAATGGCGATAGCATTGTAAACATCACGACCCAAGAACTGAATGAGCTACCATAGAGTAAGGTCCTTTTTCAATTTCCGTTCGTGTCTTGACATAATTTGGCCACGTCGATCCGCCCTGAATATCTTTGAAGAACCCAGCAAAATAAGTGGCAAAGCCTCTGAGTTTGGTCGGTTTATAAAGATGGCCCGCTGAACCATTGTCAAACGAACATTGCTGGGGGTGTATGCCATGGAAGCGTGTGACGCCCGCTCCCTTCGGGCTATTACGTAAAAAAAACAGAATTGCATGTTTCGGCAACTTCTAGTTTCTAGGTCAATTAATGGCATTCAAGCAAAAACGGAGAGAACTATGCCCCCTCGAAATCAAGTGGACCAGATCCGGAGATTTTTTGGGGGGAGGGGGTTACCATCAGCGGCCCTCTGTCAACCCTGTGTCGCCCACCTACCAACCCTCTAGTTGTGCTCCTGATCCTAATCCCCTCCCCTTCCCTATTACAATCCCACTTTCATCATTATTGGTCATATCCATGGCAACCGGTCCAAGCATATCCACGATGTGTCACGGATGTGTTGGATGGTCAAATACAAATGTGAATACCATGACGTTACACCACCCGATCTTATGATTGCCGGCATACGATACTATGCGAAATGTAAAAATGGTGGTGATGAGGGAGGGCAGTATGTTTTCCTCGAATGCTCGGAACGAGACAAATTTCTATGGTCAAAACATTGGCGACAGCAATGTTTTGTTTCCCACTTTTACTTACGGCATGATTTAGTCATCTAGCGTAGAGAATACTTCATAAGCATACATTGTTGCGATTTCAAAGCCACCAGGCGTTTGTACCGACTTAATCCACAAGCACAAACACTCGAGACCAAATCTGCAACGTCGCCACTGCCACGGAACGGTGATCTGCCAAACTGCGCGGTCATCATCGCTCCCCTCCCGCCTGACAGCCGCCGACAGCGCGAGCATGGCGGATGGTTCTCGTACCCTGGCCGCGATGAGGTGATGGGCACCATCTCCACACCGGTCCAGGACTGACTGCGGCCGTCTGCACGAGGCTCCGCGCACAGCACCGCCTTCTGGGGGGCACCTGCCGGCCCGCGCTCTGGCCGGGCTCCAGCTGTTGTGACGCCCCCTGGTGACGGAAGTGGCGAGCGTGGCGCCCCCTCCGGCGGCCGGCCGCCATCTGGCGGACAGGACGGGCTCCAGCGTCGGACGCGGCGGGCTGAACCAGATCGATCCACTCCGCGCTCCAGAAATAGGCGCGCCCGCGTGAGCGAGCTGTTTCAAATCATCGAAGCCAAACGGAAAGGAGTGCGGTGTATTGCCGATATAAGCGTACGGGTAACAAGGCGGTAGAACCCAGCTGGAGTCGACGATCACAACGTAACTACCAGCTGTCATAATTGCGTACTTACCAATGACAACAGCTTTATAATTTCGACTGGCAGTCTTTGAATTTAGAGCGTTCTGTAAGCAAAGTTGGTTGCATTGACATAAACAGCGCCAAAACTGTGTGGATCCACTTGATGGGAAAGTTTTGCGCCAGGCCTTTGTGCCTCACAGGATTACAAAGGGTTTAGCGTGCAACACCACACCACAGCAGGGCCACCCAGGCCAGCGTGACCAGCTCTGGCCAGCTGCCAGCTGACCTCTGACGTCACCGGGGCCTACCGGCGAGCCCGTTCTCAGACCGGCATCCGGCGCTGCTAGACTTCGAGTTCAGCATCCTTCTCTAGACCACGGATGCTGCTAAGCATGCGGTCGGTTTCTTGTTCCGGGCTTTTAACGAGTCAGCTGGAACATGCAATCTCGCAGGCGTGGTACTGGAATAGCCAACGAATAGAAAATGATGTTTCAAGTCGCTTCAGGCGCTTGTTATTTGCCCCTGACAACAGGATGGCATGCTGGTAGCAGCGACCGTGCGCTAAAGGTCAGGTGATGTCAGACGGCAGGACGGACCGTGCCAAGCATTGCAGCACGTGGCGTTCGCCGAAAAGTCCCACCGTTGCCACAAAGTTTCACGATCAGAGGGTGGGTCTGGCCTCGCGTAACAAGCCTTCCTGGTGTGGGCGATAATCCAGGGAGCAAATCAAATCAAAT